CAGAATTAGTGTGTATACTCACCTCTCCCTCTCTGTAATTAGATTCTGGGATTAGTGGGTGTGTAAATATACAGTTATGTAAACGGTAGAAATTCGAATGAGATGTTGAGCAAATGAAGACAATGACAGCATCCAAATTCACACTTATATACTAAGAACAAATGATAGCATTGGTGATGGGAAAGTCCATACTTTTGAGAATTAAGTAATTGCACAAATATTTTATAATATGCTACTACATTATAAAATAACATCTTTATACTGCTATATCCACTTGATATGCATAGTTTTGGCTTCTAGCTAAATTCATTACCTTTAAATTCATTATTTAACTTTTATGTTCGTACATTTTAAACTGTAACAACTAATGTTTCTTGACACTTAAAGGGTTAGTTCACCCAAAAATGAAAATTAGCCCATAAATCACTCACCCTCAAGTAGAGCTGTGTGATATGGACAAAAAAAACCTATCGCGATTTCTTTGATCAATTTGCGATTCCGATTTTAATAACGATTTTGACACACACAGACATGCTTTACAGTCATAAATGCATTCAGTGTGAATTTGAAACATATTTCCAAAAGAAAACCAATTAGAGCTTTATCAAAAAGTAACATATAACATGTCTCTAGAACAGACATACGGCAAAATAATCACTAAGTAAAGGTGTAACAAAATGTCTCTAGAATAGACATATGGCAGAAAAAAAATAAATAAAAATCCCATGTCCAGGGATTTTTTTTTTTGCCATGCATTGGTCATAGAGCTCTTTGTGGCGTTGCCTCAATTGTTGAACTAGATTTGTTGCGCCAAGTTCACACGTACTCCGTCTGCAGTGCGTATACAGTATGTGTATGCGGTGCAGAAGCAGCACGGACTTTTTTACTGTGAATAATGCGCTGTCACTTTCAGCGCATGCAGCACAGCAGAAATAGACTCCGTGCGGAAACGATCGCAGCATGACTGCTGCAGACGCACCTCTCCTGGAGCACACTGGCGGAGCGCAATCGTGTGCAGTGTGAACGCTCTGATCCGTTAACATGGGTGCGGAAAAAATATGCACCACAGACAGAGTGTGTGAACCTGGCGTTACATTTGCATGCCCGCCTGGTCTGTTCTGTTCTCGTGCTCCATTTAGGCGCGCTGCATTCTGATTGGTTCGGATAGCATACTGCAGGAGGTCGGGGGCGCAGAAAATCGTGCTATAAAGCGATTTAGAAATCGCGCAAGCTCAAATCGCGATTTTATGACGATTTCGAT